TTCTTACTAGCTAACGCGGCGATCTCCTGGAAAGCAAAGAAACAGTCTCTAGTTTCGCTATCCTCAACAGAAGCTGAGTATATTGGGTACTCGGAAGCCTCTCGTGAAGCTATCTGGCTTCGTCGCCTCTTTCACGAAATTACCACAACAAAGCATGAATTGCAGGTGCTCAATTGTGATAACCAAGGAGCTATTAAGCTTGCTGGAGATCCCAAGTTTCATGAAAGAACGAAACATATCGATGTCAAATACCACTTCGTCCGAGACTGCTGCAAGCAAGGCCTCATTCGACTCAACTACATACCTACGAACATGATGACTGCCGATATCATGACAAAACCCTTGCCACGCGAAACCCACCAACACCATACTCAAAACCTAGGCCTACAGATACAGGAATGAGAATGGGCGCAGATGAAGTACACAGTTCTAAAGAATAATTTTGCTTAATTTGAATCTCCCATGTCTATATTTTCCTTGCATGTACGGGACACTCTTTTTCCTACCAAAGTCCTTGGGAGGTTTTTTAATGAGGTCTCCGATATTTCTATGTATTAGATCAATAGTTATCAGGAAGGGTGGGAGTGTTGTCAGTATGACATAGGACACGGTGCTAAGACTTCCTGATAGGAAAGGAAGAGCTGCGAGACGATCGGGACAGAGTGAAAGAAGAAGGATATGCCGAAATGAAGGTCATGAGATGGATATAGTAGACCGAGCCGAATGAGTTGAATTGGGGTGAAGGATTGCTTCATGGGATCCAAAGTACTTGTATATAAAGGTAGTTAACTACCTGGTGTCTGGAGGAGAAGCAGTATTGGCGACGGGTGTGACGAATGATATTATCTCTTTGCTTATCAAGAACTTCTATTTCTCTCCCGTTTTGCAACACACCCCACTCCCCCCCCCCGCGAGTGACGCCCTATGACGGACTACCATGCGAGGGCCAAAGAGAGTCAAGCAAGCCGGCCGGCCAGTCATATCGCCTCAGTCCCGTTCGGCATAGAAGTTTATCGTATCAGATCTCCTCAAGCCTATCCCGTCCAGCGCGATTTTATTTCACCCGCTCCGCTACGAGTACTCGTACAAGCATCGTGCGGAAACCGTACCATACCGTGTCACATCATGCCTTGCTCCCGACGAATAGCGAGCGCCACACCCGGCTTCTACTGCAATCCCCCCCACGAGTCATTGCGTTAGCCGTGGTCGTGGTCGTGGTCGTGCTGGAGGAACACTGCGTGGGAGGAAAAACGGGGCGGGCCACATTGCAAGAACGTATTTGCAGGTTGGTCGTTTTGGAAGGAAGGAAGGAAAGAGAAAAAGAAAAGAAAACGTGGTTTCGCGATACGGGAGTCCGACACCTCGCTCGCCCATTCCAAAAGTATCCGAAACTCTACGGGCCAAGCCTCCGGAAGCGAATCCGCGATTCTTGGCGGGAGCACGGTTTTCGGATATTGTGCTTTTGGAATCGGGGAGCAGCGCGGCCATGTGTTGCGGAGGGTACAAGCGCGGTACGGAAAGGTGCGGGTGCACATGTAGAGTACTTGTACAATACTGGTACCGTATTCTTTCTCCACTGCTATGAGTACCGGCACCGCATGTGTGTGCGAGCATGAAGTCGGTGGCATTTTTTTTTGACTGGTTTCATTTTTTGCATGATATTCGTGGTACCGGTATATGAACGGCCACCGGCATACCTGTACTGTACACTACCCCTACAACAGTGAAGGGGAGAAACTTGTGTTGGATTTTGATAATGGTCAAGATAGAAATGGACCGGAAATACCGGTATGATAGATAGATACGGCGCAAACGCTGCAGCAACTACTGCCAGCCAGCCAAAATAGGCAGCGAAAGAAACCAAGCCATCGGTCAAGTTAACCGAGCCAAGCCAAGCCAAAAAATTATTTCTAATGTGCCGCAGCCCCCCCTAGCAACATCTTCTCATGTCGCTTGATAACCTCGGGCACAATCAGACTTTCAATCTCAACCTCTTCACTGCCACCGCTGTTGCCATCGCTCGTCGGCAGACGCACCCACTGAGCACTCCCCTCCTCCACGAACAAGACCTCGTATTTTCGCGTAGCAAGGATGTTCCCGATCACAAGGTGGTGAGCGTAGCGGTCGAGACTCTGATTGCACTTTTTGAGGAGGATGGAGGAGTCCGTTTCCAACTGTGGAGCATTAGATGAGAACGGGAACGTAATATAACCGTGAAAAGCATGGTATAGAGAGAAAAAGGGGCACCTGCCTTGAAAGAGACGATCATAGCCTCAGGAGCCCACTGTTCCACCAGTCGCTTGAGGAATTTGGGAACGGGGTCTAGGTCTACTACCAATTTCTTCCCGCCCCCTCCTCCGCCAGGAATAGCGCTGGAAGTGGTCTCAGGCACGTCTCCACTCTGAATCTTGTGCTCGGCCATCCTGTCCGGCGGGACAAAAAAGTCAGATACGGCGGCAGCGAGGTAGAACAAAGCCTCATTTCCGAGGCACCTCATCTCACAGGCGATGGCACGGAGCGTGAAGAGGTAACTCGTAACGGTCGTGAAGGGGAGCAGCAGTAACAACCTCTGCTCCTTCGCCTTCCGATACTTCCTAAGGACGCTGAGCATCTCACGTCTATATTTTGCCTTAACAACCACATCCGGCGTCGCTGCCCCCCCATCTTCCCCCTCTTCGCCTTCGCCAATACGCCCCCACTCGGATAAAAAGTCCAAAAAGCAATTCGTAGAGTGCGAGTAGTGCCGACTGAACGGCAGCAGGGAGAACTGCCTGTGCAGGAATATCACCGCGTAGCCTTGCGAAAGAAAGTACTCGGCGGATGTGGCGCCGCGGGTGCCAGCGGAAAAGTTGTCGATGAAGCGCACCGTCTGGTTCTCCAGCGGGACGGTGGTGCCGCCCGAGGTCAGCAGGACTACGCGCCGGGAGTGGGCGTGGTGGTGGGTTACGAAGGCGTTGGCCTGCGCCGTGTGCTGCGGGAGGGTAGCGGGTGGGGGGTTGCTGGAGAAGTAGTGGGATTCGGAGGTTGAGGAATCGGTCATGGTTAATTTGCTTTTTTAGCCGGTTGGTTTGGAGTGGGGAGGGTTGTGGACGGCGGAGAGGAGGGACGGGGCGCCGGACCAGAGCGGATGCACAGTACCGTGGTGGAATGTGGTGTGTCCGGTCAGTCTTTGCTCTGCGTCCCTTCTCGCGCCGGGTATCCTAGTAGCCCCCGTCGTGCGAGTGGAGGACGCTCAACCCCGGAATAAATTTTCCGATTCTCGTCCTTTTTGAGAAGGCCGAGACGCTCTTGCCGCGAATGGTCCACAGCCGATTGACCAACCTCCCGCCCAGCGATTATTTTCCGTCCGTCTCCGTCGCTATCCGCACGCAATGAGGAAACAGTGGTTCTCACACCCAGCCGAACCGATCGCAGGATGCTGGTGTTTTTTTCTCTTCTTTTCTTTCCTATTCCCCTGGTGCAGGGCCGCGGATCCGAGCAGGTTTGATTCGGTTGAGGTGAGGTGAGGTGAAGTGAAGTGAAGTGAGGCCTTGCCCCACCGAGTAGAAACGTCACTGGTTTAACGGTGATTCGGTTGTGCGATGATGCCCCGCCGACCCCGATTCCTGATTGCATGCCACTTTCGGGAACAATAGCTTTGTGAAGGGTATAATTTCGAGGTCACGGGGATGGTGCAGCACTGAGCACTGTGCTATTGCTAGGCACAGGTTGCGAACCGGAGTAATTCCACGGTTGCTGCACCGACGCTGTGCCGGTGGTGACGGATCATTTTCTGTACGATACGGTGCCTCCGCGAGTGGGCAAGGAGTCGTTTGATTAGGGTGTTGTGTCGGAATGTAACCTTTATCTTCACTTCCCCTCCGTTCCGTGTTACCATAAATTTACAGCACACCATCACACCGGTGTCACTGTTTCCTCCTCCTCACAGCTTGAATCACCCACCCTCACTCGGAAATAGATTCATCACGATAACCAGACTCGTCGCCCGGGGGACAAGGGAAAAAGAGAGAAAGAAGAAGAGAGAAAAAGAACGAGCTCACATGATCTACAGTATCCTCCCCATCGAGCCGCTCGTGCGTGAACACCCGCCCCTTCCGGCACAGTACTACGGTACACAAAATCTACAGTGCACGAGTACCAATACAGATAGATAATCCTCCTCGCAGAGAGGAGAATTTACGGTACGGTGCAGATGAAACATTCACCCCGTTACAAGTAGGTAATTCGGATGTCGGGCGGGGGATACAGGATACTCGAGTAGGGCTCCTGGGGGGCCGTGTTGGCTACTAGTAGTTACTCGTACTCGTACTGTTGCAGGCAAGTTTAAGGATTGGTATGTGTTTGTTTTGTTAGTTACTCGGGCACGGTGCTGCAAGGCCAGAAGGGGGACAACACATGGCTGCTGTCGATATGCTATTTATAAGCCAGAGGATGATGGGTTTATTTATTGGAGGTTGGCACGGGATGGCAGATGCTGATTCTGTGGTGCCTTGTGGAAGGGTAGGGGTGAAGGATGAGAGAGCGGGAGGGAGAGATGGAATACCGGTAGGGTGCCAATCGAATGGAAATCTCGTTTACCATGACTGGGCGTGTGTGGTGAGGTGTTTCTATGGGGTACGTTGTATCCTGCCGTGGTGCGCGTACGGGTACATGCGGTACCGTGTGTGCAGTCTGCGTGCTGCGCTCCGCCACCAGTACTACTCGTAGTACTCGAGCACGGTATCGAACTCTGGACAGGTGAGCGTTGCGCTTCCGCCATCATCCCCACGGGCGACTGTACCGGTATTGGTCAATTCCCCCTCACCGCCCATGGAAACACCGGTGGGCTCGGTAGATGGTGTGGGAATGCACCGTTGTGGTACTTGCACCCGCGCCGCATCCGAGAGTGCCGAATTGCCTGTCCGCGTGCCGTACGGGTACTCGTACAGTGGATACACGAGCACTCTCGCATGCACTGCACTAATATCATACTTGTACGGGTGCTCATGGCTCGCGAGGAGCACCCGAAAACAGGGACTCGCAGAATATAAGGCAGGAGGAAAAGCAATCGTGCCCGTCTCGGCGCCATCACTTGTGCAAACCAGCGACTCCTGTTTTTCGGATACAGTGCCTCTCGAGGATGATACTATCGGTGGTACTCTTGGCAGGGACCAAAGACCCTCAAAGGGAATGAAACAGGAGGGAGAGGAGGGGGAACGAAAGGGAGAAGGAAAAAGTCTCAGAGAACGAAAGGGTATCGGTGATTGGACTTGGAGGAAGAGGCTCGTGCTCGGTTCGGATTATTACTCGAGTACGGTACTCGTACTTGTGCGGTATTGGGGCTCTCGGATGGATGTGGCAGCGAACGGGTCGCAGGACGGTGCATCGCGTTGGCTCAATTCTGTTGGGCTATCGTGCAGTGCGGTAGGAATCACCGTATTGTACTCGAGTACTCGTGCTTGGATTTTCCTGGCTTTCGCTCTGTGGTACTGTGCCAGTACTGTACTTAGCGCTGCACCGGTATGATACCAGCACTGCGGTGTTGCTACTGTAGAAGAAAAAGCAACAACCGAACGCACCCAGGTGATGGGCGCAAGTGTTAGCGAACCTCAAAGGCCGGCGTTATGGATGGATATAGATGTTTCCTGTTGCTACAGTACTTGCGCGCGAATGTTTTCAGTCATTTTTCGCGGGCCAATAATGGTCTGCTGCTTGCATACCAGCAGTGTTTAGGGTGCGCATAAGTGAGGCGGACTCTGGCCAAAGTTGGAAGTGCATGACCATATGAGGGGCCAATCTTGGCGCTCCAGCTCGAGGTGGAATGAATCAGGAAAAGCCATCTGTTACCGGTATGTATGATACGGTGCTCGAGTGCTCGTACTCTGGCCACAGGGGCATCGCAATACCGGTACCGGCATTCAGCTCTTGGATTGGCTGGGCCAATCAGGGTGGTTTCGCCTCGCTTACCCTACCCTGAACTCCATGCTTTACCGGTAGGGTTCGGTATTGTGCTATGCAGAAAGTGATCGTATCATACAGTACCGTGGATTATTATACTTGTGTGGTGCGAGCGGCCATGGTGGTACCGTTACAGGACAACAGTGCACCTCCCCGACCCAAGATCTTGCTTGTGGAACCAGGGGGAGGAGGGGTGGAGCAAAAAAGGGAAAAGAAAAACTGCACAGCCGCATTTTCTCCCAACTCCCTCGCCAATATCGAAATAGCACACATTAGTCTACTGGTGCTTGTACTGTACTCGAGTACGCGGGTAAATCAAAAGACCCAGTCTTTTTGAGCATCGTGCTCGAGCATAGCACAGCGCACTCGTGGGATACTGTGCGGTATAGCACTGCGACGGGCGCAAGTGCTCGAGTGCGGTACTCTACCGTGCAGTGCTTTACACGCGTGTAAATACTTGTAGCATCCTCTCATTCACCTCTACTCGAGTACGAGTACTCGTCCTGCGCTGCCGGAGGCGCAGGTACGGCGCCAATCCACTAAGAATACTCCGGTTGATAGATCTGCACCTGCACACCTCGCTCTCGGCGGAACATTCACTTTCTCACCTTCTCTCGCCCTTCTCGGTGGCCGGAAAAAGGAAAAAGGAAAAAAGAAAAAAAAAAACCACTGTGAAGGGAGGGTAGGGGAAGGTGTGGTGGCAGAATCAAGGGGCAGCAGACAGTCGGATTCGACCTACCATACTCGCCCACCTGCCGAGGAAAGGTTCGAAGGGGATCGTACAGATTTAGAAACGGGGATGGGTGGATGGGGTGGGTGCTGGGCACCGTGAGTGGTTGGGGTACCTTCACTCAGGCTCGCCGCATGTTTTTCATTTATTTTTACCCTACGCTTCTCCCAGGAACAGGGGAACGGGGAGAAGAGATTGATTAATCGGCCGGCTGCTCAAAGCTTAGCGACCACCGATATAGGCAAAGCGGCATTTTGAGGGGTGTTTTTGACGAAAGGGGAGTGCGCGGGGTTCGCGGGATTACTCGTAGGATTGATGATGGAGGGAGGATCGGTGAGTACGGCACTCGAGTACCGGGACAGTACTGGACGGGGAGAGGATGAACTTCGTGTCTCGTGGTTACTCGTGCGTACCCGTGATACGGTGTGCGGGCGTCGGTTTCCGTACTGCACTCGTACTTTCAAAGATTTGGTCGGCAGTGCTCGAGTGGGCACGGTATCCTAGTTGTTGCTGAAGGGAGGGGAGAGTCGGGGGGGGGGGGGGGCAACATGCACGGAGAGGGTTGGATCGAGGAAGAGTGCTGGGGGGCGGGATTAAAGTACAGTATCGTATCCGCTGGGTCGGTCGCGGTCCTTTCGGTATGCGGGTTTTTATTGATCGGCTTCTATTGGTGGGCATTTTGGGGGGTGGTGTGTTCTGATTGGCGCCCAAGGGCCTGGTTACCACACATTCTCATCAGCTCAGGGGAGGGGGGGTTGGAGGTGAGCTGTGGTACTGGTAATGGACTCGGGGGATTGGTTGAGGACGTTTGTGTGGCTGCAACAGCGTTGTTGCCCCCTCCATCCAGCGCCTCCATTCCCCCACACCTGTTCAGGCACCAGGAACGCCTGCGGCCGTGATTGAATTACCGCTGCACTTTCTATTCTACTCCATATTTTTGTCATTATTCCCGTTCGTATTCAGTCGGCAACGGGTGCTTCTCGTTGGCTGGGGCTGGGATCGTTACAATGATTAGGGATGGGAGAAGTGCTGTTCTCTTCGCTTGTTCCAGCCGCTGGCGCGTCCTGGAGATTCGCTGGATCCCTGAGCCAGCATGATTTGTAGGGCATGAACGGACTAACCCAAAAGAAAAAAGATTGAGAGAATTATGATACCGGATTTCTTGACCACTCACTGGGTAGGCTCTGGTGTTGGCTGGGACGGGTCTATGCACGATAGGGGGCGGGAAAGCGAGAGAGAGAGAGAGAGAGAGAGAG